CTGGCATAAACCGCGTCGTGTTTCCGACTCGGGCACTGGAGGGCGTGCTTTCGATTCCTGACAGGGTGGATATCGAAGCCACAACTCGAGAACGTTGAGTGGACCCGCCATTGTCGATTCACCGATGTGGCGGATGTGTCGACTCGGCAACTCGGGCTCTGGCGGCTTCGTGCCGTGGTGCGTAGCATGTGTGCGGATTTTGACTCGCATTCGTTGTCGTCGTCTGGAGCTCCACGCAGCCCTAGAACAACCCGAACCTGTCGAAAGCTTGCTCAACTCGACCTTTGGCCACCCCGTCGGCGATAGAGGTCTGTAGCAGTGTCATTTGGCTGCATTGTGGAGGTATCACACGGCATGCAATTGCGACCACTTACTGGCAATGTCTGTAGCCAGGTTGGCGTCACGAGGTACGTCGTCGACGCAACGTGTTTGAAAAATCCACGCGAGAAAGCAATTTCTCGGATAATCAGTCGAGTTCTTGACGAGTTGAATTGGAGTGACGAAAGCAATTTTGCTCTTGCGAGAGTGCGCTCTCCATCCCGTCGCTCATTTTCGCGCTGCTGCCAACGGTGCGATCGCTTATGCCATGACCGTACGAGCGGCCGCCAGTCTTGCGGTGCCTGTGCATGGCGATTCACATTCGGGTGTTTTGCTCATGTGGAGTCGCTTTTCAAGTCGACATGGCGTCGTTGGGGATGCAAAGTTTCGGCTGCAAACGTCGATACGTCGAGGGTTGTGGTGGAAAAGCGAGGCGGCACTTGGTTCTTCATTCGAGCAGTCCATGTCGTCGCATGCACGCCGACTTTTTGAGAGTTTGCTACAGATTTTGTGTCGCTGCTAGATGGGTCGGGCTTCTACCCCGACGGAGGCACTGCATGGACCGCATGTACTCCGTGCAAGTTTGCACGACACCGAAAATGCTCCGTGGCAGACGGACACCATGCTTTGTGTCAGGATATGACGTGGCTGTACCACGAGAGACAGGTTCACCAAGTCGCTAGCACGATAACAAAGCGCGACGAGTGAGAGGCTGCCAAATTTGCAAGTGTTTCCGTTTGGGTATGGACCACATATCCAGCGTCGTGAGTATTTGAAACTTAACGAGGAGTGTGCTTGGAGTTCCGAGCCTCACGATCCTGGTCCACGACGTGTTTTTGTAAGAGACTAACTCCCCTCTACACGGGCATGCAATCCTTCAGTCTCCGCCCGTCCCGTTGGACGGTGGTGTCGGCCGTTGGGTGCTGTGAATGGTGCAAAAGTTGAGATTTCGCTCGTAGGCTGGGCGTTGGCACCCGTCTTGGTTACATCGCTTGCCTGCGCACAACCGCATGAACTATATCGCGACAGATCTCGTTGTAGATGTACCGCCGCCGTGGGCCCAGCAGTGGCCGCCTTGCAGCGATGTGCGATTGCAGTCTGGGGTTGCGCACGGTTTGCCTCCGCCATGCGTCCAACAGAGCCCGCGGGCCTTGGAGTGGTTTGTGCAGTCGCTCCACTTGCACGTTCGGGACCCGCCTATTGGGAAGCCATGACCGCGAACTCGTCGAGACGGATGGTATATACTACCATGCTTCCAGCACACCCCATTGCTTTTGGCGCCTATGTCGCACTTGTCAACCTGGCATCGCTTTCCGCCCTGTTCACAACGACACACGGCAGCTGAGACTCGTCGACGCGATCCGGGCAAGGAGAACATGTGTCGCAGCAAGTACCCCGTGGCGGATGCAGCTTCCTTTGCTCACGATCGTACGGTGGCAGCCGTCGGTTTGGCACACTTTTCGCGGTCGGGTGTCGGGTGGCGGCGTCGCGGCCGCGTGCGCCGACGCCGCGACGCCTCGTGTGTACTCTTCGCTAAACACTGTCGAGAGCAGCTCGACGATTTCCATGTCCCCCGACAACGCGTCCAGCGGTGTCGTCATCGCACGCCACCGAAATCTGCGGCGACCACTAACTTGGCGTACCGAAATTCGGAACCCGCCATGTGATGCATGCATACAGTGGGCAAAATCGCCTACTTTGACGTTACTATAAAAATTAAAAAAAGTTGCCGATTTTGACGGGCGTTTTGAATCACTCTGACATCGCGGCGGCGGATGACGACGTCGGGTGGGTGCCGACGTCACACACGCCCGCGACGATGGCTGGCCGACGTCAAGGGCTGGTGCGGCAGATGCACACCGACGGCACACTCGTCGCCCCAGGGGGACGCGCGTCGCGTGGGGATCGACTGCAGTCGTGGTTTCAAAATACCCCACTGGATTTCGAACGGTTCAGTTTCGCAACGGCAATGGCAGGGGAGGTGAACGTCACTAGGGTGCGCGCCCATCATGTTGTCGTTGCGGCCATCTCGCCGTAAACCATCGTGTCGCGAGGTGCGCGCATGTCACGACCGCGTGCTGTCGAGAGTTTGTACTGTGCCGTGGTGGCTTGAAACCCGATGCAGACAGCGGCCGAATTCACAAATGTTCTTGTCGACGGGTGGACCGACCCTCGATCGTGCGCGCCAACTGGGTTGGCCGACCCTTTGTGCACAACAGCAGATACAAACGAGCAAGGGAGGACAAAACGGGTGAGATCGCACCCACTCTGTACGTTCATCGATTGAGAGTGTCCTGGTGGCGGCGCGCTGCGACCACGGGAATCCCTTGACTGCCTGCATTGCGTCAACAAGTCTATCAGTTGGAGGCCGGAATCGACTCCAACAGCCATCTTTGCAATGTTGGGGGCACGGTCTGTCCTACCTCTGGCTAGTACTGGCCAAAGCGATCTTCGCCGACAGGACGGGGTTTTCACCGCCGTGGTCGACCGGTGCGGATGGTTTTTTAGTGTGGAAGTTGCTTACGGATGGACGCACACCGTTGTCGTTTGTGCTGCGCCCAATGTGCTGACAGCATCGGAAAGCTGGTACACAAGCGTCAACGACGTCCCCTCACATGGGTATGCTACCGTCCGACGTGCCTGGTCTCCATCGTTGTGCTAACCCACAAAGGCGATGGTTCGTTACATTCTTCAGCCAGATGAGTCGTCGGTGTGCCAGACGCCGCACGCAGCGTCACTGGCGCGGTACCCCCGGCCTCACCCCCATCGCGATGGGGTGCAAACAAATCCGTTTGCAGATTTGTTTGACACGAAGATGGAAACGAATGCTACGTCAACTTTGTGAAAAATGCCGTGCATAACGGTGCTGCAGCTGATCCTGGTCTGATGCAGATGGAAAAGCGACTCAGCCGGGAAGGCTAGCTATCTTCTTGTTTTCTCATTCTGTCCCGACGACATGGCTTGCACATCCTTCCAAAGTGCGTGAGATATTCTCGGGGCCAGCGTTGGCCCAATGTACTGTGCTGGCCTTGCCTTGTGGCCGTTGCAGGGGAAACCGAGGACGACGAACGGCCTTTGGGCAAGCTCCAAACCTGTCTATTGGTTGCGAAAGTTTGGATCCTGGGATTGCGGCTGTCTGACAAACTCTGGCGCGGCGAGCAGCACCTGCTCGGAGCTACAGCATGCGACGTGCATGTCAACGATGCGTGGAGGGGTCGAGCAAGTCGTTTTCCGGTTCATTCTCGAGGTCTGCTGTGCGCCACATGCTCGAATGTTTCCTTGCGGACGATGGTGTACACGCGCCATCGCGAGTGCGTTGGACAGTTCTGTTCGCCCGTTTGGCGTTATCACGACTCGCAGGAATCGTCCAGCCTCTGACCGAGCTACGTCGTCCATTACTCCGATGGCGTTCGTTTTGGTCAAAGTCGACGTGGAACCATGCGAGCGTCGAGGCTGCATGTCCAAGTCGCCATCTACTCGTTGTTGTTGAAGACACAAGTGCCGTGAGTTGTCCGATAGACGAGTCGCCCCGGCATTGTTGGCAAAGTCTGCATGAACACCACGGTCAACGACAGCCACAAAGTGCTCATGTTTGCATTACAAAGTGTTTGCGTTGGAGCGCATTCCCTGAGGCGACAGGAACCGAGAAAGTCGTGCGCAGTGCATTGTTGTGTTTTCTTAGATCGCCACCTCGAGTTTAGGACAACCTCCAACGGTACACAGGACAGCGCGCCGATCCCCCCGTTACATTCCCCTGCCACTCCCTTCAGATATCCCCGTCAGGGGCGGGATGCCCCAGCCGCACCATCGAATGACGAAGGAAAGGATCGGGTTTCAAGCTGACCGTCACGACCAAGAACTTTGAAGACGTCGCTGCTGCTGTCGTCGTGCAAAAGCAAGTAGACCATCCCGAGCTTGTACTTGTGGAGTGAACCGCCTCTTGGCTCGTATGGCCACTAGGATGCATGCTCCAGACAGGGCATCAAAATGACTGCACCGCGATGACACGGCGTAGGCGGCATTGCCGTTATCGCAGGGGCCCTGAAGGTATACCACATGGACGGAGCAATCGAGGTAGACCCAGATCGTTAACGAGAACCGCAGGTCGCCGTTGTCGGCGACCCCACCACAACTGTCCCAAAAGGCAACACTTGGATCCTTCGCTGCAGCACGCTCGAGCGGCCGATTCCATTCACCCGAGCAAAACCCGATGGTTTGTGACGCAACCAAGGAGCCTGTCGCTGACGTTGCATTCGCCCCCCCGACGTGATACGCATCCAGAAATCTCGTCCCCTTCCGTCCAATGATGTAGTCATGGATGGGAAAGTCACGTTTCGAAACACTCCAGCGGGGCACATCACCACCGACGCACCAGCTTGAGCCCCGCAGTGCGTTGCCCACATATTTCGGCTTTGTCGCCCCATTCATGGACCCGACTCACAACGCACGTTCAAGTTCGCACGGCCAATGTCGCGGGGATGCTGACGGCAGGCACCGACGCGTAGTGTGTGCGGCGGTGAGTCCATTTCCCGAAGCGCAGCGCCTCGTCGTGTGTAATACCATTCGCTCCAACCACATGTCGAAGGACGGTGGGGCCAACTTGGTTAAACAACGCACTCGTTCTCCCCCTGCCGCTCGTCGCCAGAGCAATCCAGCAGTGGAACCCGACAACTGAGTTTGTGTCCTGGCCTACTACCGCGCCGATTTCGCCTGTACGGGATCGATATTCCCCCAGTACATCCATGGTTTGCATGCACTTGAGACCGTACCCATCCTGGGTGAGTCGCCGTGGTGCGTCCAGGAGTCCGTCGGCGTGACGCCGCCGCAACGTCCCCCGGCGCAATCTTCCCGCTCTGCATATGCTCCGACACTTGCGACAGAGAGAGAGATTTTGGTGAAAATGTATCGAAACAATATCGAATTTCAACAGGGACAGGACAACGTCGAGCGAACTTCATCACCCATTGCCTGATTCGAGAAATTGTATAAGAAATTTCATCACCCATTGCCTGATTCGAGAAATTGTATTTGAAATTTCAGGGGAATTCGTTTGGAGCATGTACGTTGGCTGTGTACGGGTGAGGCAAGCGGCAGCCTGCCCTGGGAAAGAGTGCATGCAACGGAGCCACGGCTTCCGCTTGCAATGTGGTCGGGCAGAATCCGAGGAAAACAAAGCGCGGCAGTCCAACACTGTCCTGTGGGGTTTCGTCCGTTCGGCCGAGGACGTCCGCCTGATGCGAGATGTAATGGAGGGCAATCCGTGCCAACGAGCACCTGGCCGATTCGCTCCGACGACACGAAACAGCCTTCGACTTTTTTCTCGGTCGCGATGCCCATCGAGAAGTACTCCTCCAGTGCGCGTTGATGTCAACGCATGTCGGCCGGTGAACGTCATGATTCGAGCGCTACACGCGTCGTTCCAAAGTGCACTTGGCTATCCCAGCGACTCTTGTCCATGAATTCGATCACACCACCGCGAGGACCCCCGGCGTCGATGTCTCATTTGACCCAGCCATGTCGAGTGGTTGGCGTGTTTGGGAAACGTCACTTTACACCGCGGCCGTCGGTGGAAAACGTCATCGCGACGTCCGTAAACCCGTTCGAAACGTCACGTTGCCGTTTCGTACAACTGCAATGTCACCCGACGGCGCGTCGGCCAAGTTGTCGGTGGAATGACCGCATCCACACTTCGGACGCGTCACGGCAGATTCGTTGAGGCTACCACGGGTGCTGAGATCACGGCGCTGTGCCGTGCTCCTCCGTGTGCATCTCACTCGACCCTTCCCCCCTGTAGTCGGTACGACTCCACCGAAGTGCCGTTCCGTGGCTGGCCCGCAGACTAGCAGGGTCGTTTCGTCACGGGAACCCTGCTGGCGAGATCGAGCCCGTCGGCCGGCGAGTCCACGACAAAACGAGCAAGCATGCACGAAGCTCGCCGAAGAGGACGCACCGCCACGGTCGTGTCGACCGCCAACCGCGTGTGTTCAGGTCGACGACATGGTTGCCGCTCCCGACCACTCGGTTCCCATCCCCCGTCGTCCAACGTCACTCAAAACGGTCGAGATTCCGCCGTTCGATATTCTTCCCACGGCTGCAGCTCCATTCCCGTGCGACACGCTTGTGTCTCAGAATGTGGCGCCAGCGCCGCGAGATCAAAACGACAACGCAAGCCGCTGTCCCCCGACAGAAATCCCGTTCTCCACACGATTGGTGCAAACTCGATGAAGTGCGAGAACTCATGCCACATATTGGGGACGCGGTTTGGCTAAGTGCGGCGGGTGGATTGCGTTTACACGGGTGTCAGTCACTTGAGGATTTTCCGCGTCATCATCTCATCGCGACGATGCCCCCGACTGCCCGCTGCTGCGCCAAGTTTTCGATCGGGTACTTGATGAACACGGATGTGCGCCCGCTGACGATCTTGGACTTGTGCCACGACGACGACGCGGCGGGGACGCTCCACTCGCCGACCGCGTTCGCCGCCTCCAAGATGCCGTCCATGTCGCCGTCGGGGAGTGTACGGCACTGCGAAGTCGTCGGGTGCGAAAACGTGATTGCGAGCCGAAAACGATGCATTAGCCATGGGGTACAACCCACCGCGACTCGATCGAGCGTTATCGTTCTTACGCGCCGTAGGGAGGAGCGCGGTGCAAGGTGCCGACGTGCCCCAATGGCGCCAAACGGAATGGCGTGTGTTGGACCCACGGCGGATCCAGATTGTGCACGATGGATGGGTGCATGAACCAAGCCAAGGCGCGCGGCCTTTGCTGGAGCCACGGCGGAGGCAAGCCGTGCCAGACCCCACAGTGCTCGAAAACCGCGCTGCGGTATGGCCACTGCTGGGCCCACGGAGGAGGTAGGGCCGCAGTTGGGCCGAGTGTACCTGGAGCCAACGCTGACATGGCGCATGTGGCTAGGCAAACGATGCCTCGAACCGGGGTGCAACCGGCCAGGATTTGAACGCCACGGAAACTTTTGCCAGCAGCACTTCGAGGCCAAGCGACCATCGTACTGGGTCCAAGTTTAACCTCCATGTAGTATATTTAAGCCTCTGTAACACCGTTGTGCCGTCGCTGCATGACGTGACCGACCCCGATTCAGCTCGGACGACATTCCCCCGCGCCATAGCACGCCGTTCGCCCACGACGCGATTCAATACCGCCATCGACGTCAACTCGGCGCTCGATCCGTCCGCGACGAGACTGGCCGGTTTACAGCGGCGCCGTCATCGCGACTTGGATGCGGTTCGTAGAAGGATCGCATCGCGTGACCGGTGCATCAACCGACGTACTGAGTCGCCCTCGTCCGTCGAGACGCTCGTGGGTTCAAATTCGAATGGAGGAGAAATGGTCGAGTCCCCCGCCCATGTCCTGTCCTCCTGCGAGATGTCGTGGCCGTGATGGCGTGATGGGTGCAGTTGGCTACTGGTGGGTGACGGCGGCGGCTGGCAAGGCAGAAATTCGGGGCAAGTCACATGACGAGTCTCGATGGGAGTGGGCCCTACGTTCCTTCTCTTCGACGATCTGGACGGATCGCCCGACGATGGCGCACTCACGTAGGTGGCGCTCGTCAAGACGCGCGGTTGCCTCGAATGCTGCAACTGCGACTGCGGGGGTGCCCGCCCTCTGAGTTCGCTGCAAGTTCTCGATGTTGACGGCCACATCCACTAGTGTGCAGGACCACCTGACTACACGCTGCCCTTCCTTTGGCCAACCCAGACGCGCATCGAGTCCCACCCCCCGTCCGCCGCGTTTCCATTCACTCGCTCCATGGGCATCCTCGTGCTCCCAGAGAGGGGTGTGTTGTCTGCGATTTGAATCGCTTGCACCATGCGCCGCGCCATGGCGCGTCAGCAGCACAACTTGGCACGATCGAGTGGGCTGGAACAACGTGCACGCTGCACAACCGACCAAACGCCCATGTAGGGCGATGTGTATCTGTCGCGGCGGGGGCACATGGGAAAGGCTCAAGGCCGTGCAGACGTGGAATCGTCGTAGTGCAAGTGCGGGCATCCATGGGCCACTGAAGGGAACAACGTTCGAGAGTGGCGAAATCTCGCCACGGTCGCCGAAACCCCGACGGGACGGCCGACATAGATCGGTCAGCGTTCGAGTACTCTCGCCTGTGCACACAGCCTCGGACAAGGACGAGGAGTGGGATGTTTCGATCGCGTTGTGGCATCGAGTCACGGATGCCACAGGAAACGACGAAAGAGGAAGGGGGCTCGACACAGCCCATCTGCTACAGCTGCGTCCCACCGGGGCTCGCCACTGCCCTGCGTTGTGGCAACTTCGTCATACGACGTTCAGACATTCCATCAGTCAGACGATTGCAACAAGGACACGTCACTTTGCAACGTGGACCAGAGCCTCGATTGGGTTCCACAGGGTGCGCGTGAGTCGTATGGCGAACGAGCCCCGGCCACAACCCACCAGGTTCAGACAAATTCATCTTGTCATGTGATGCAAGGCAGCGTGTGGCCCATCGCGACGACGAAGGGCAGGTTCTTCGACGCGAGAGCTACGTTGAAGGCACAAATGGCGGCGACATGGTTTTCAGGTTGGTCCGGCGAGGATGGTTCCGTGCTTCGTATCCGACTGTCGTCGCGCAAAGCGTCGTAGGGACTCGTCGATATGCTGCTGGACGCGTGCGTTGGTCCACTCCGCGAGTGGACAACTGGGGCATCACATTTACATGACAGTGCGAACCTGGACTTACAACGTTGAATAAACTCTTTTTTCTTTCGTCATATACGTGGTCGGTTTGGCCGTTGCGCGTCCAACACACACGCTGCGGTTCGCGTTGTCGTCGATGGATTTCCACAGTGAAAAGTGGTCAAAGTATATATTTGAAACGAGTGGTATATCTTTTGAAATTGCACAAAAATCTTTTTTTGAAACAGTGGGTGTAGGATGAATCGAGTGTTTGGATGGTGCGCCCCCCCGTGGACTCTTTGGGTCGTTGTGGATAGACGTATTTGAAGTTCAGGTAGTCTATGTATTTGATACACTGGGTCGTCGTCGTCTCTCACGACCTATAGTGACCACGTGGGCAATGCGCCTGGTTATCTTTTTCGCCTTTTGAGAAACTTCTTCGTACCATAAACATTTCACCCAACGTTAACAATATTTGAGTTATCGACGGGCATCCACATTGCAAGTACCAAGTACTGGGAAAATTGCTAAAATATACTTTGGAATATTCCCTTGAAATTTGGACATCCAGTGTATATTCGTGATATTAAGACCCTGACTCCTCGAAAATATCGACTTGGTCGAGAAAATGGTGTGGAAGCACAGGCCAGAAAAGAGGGACTTTCCTGTCCAAAATCGTCCAGAACAATCGAAACTTCGGTTGTTGAAGGAAAATGTCAAATCAGAGTTGGTTAAATGAGTATATTACACTATTTAAAGTGCTCCATAATGCCTTGACAAATACCTTTCTGTCAGGGTATGACTATTTTGACGCGCCGGCTGTGGCCCAGCGCGGTGGTAATTCTTCAGATGTTTTTGGCATTCCGACGCTTCATACTTCGTGCTTCGGCCGAATTTCTTCGAAGTTCTGTCCTCGTATTCGTACGCTGCTCATTTATCCGGATCCGCAGGGAGGGGTTGGAAACATTGTCGACATGCAAATATTATACTATTTATAGTATTTGTTAGGATGATTTGTATACTTAGTACCATCGCGGAGGGAGACTACTAAAAACACCCACAACAAGAAAGTTTGTACCCCAACATGTACAAGGAAGCGGTCAGTGTGCGGCAGGCAGCATGCATGTGGCATGGCGCTGCCACAAGGGACACTGAGAGCAGAAAAAGAGCTCAGTGTACAGATGCCTCTAGAGTACTCCAGTAGCCTCTAGAGTACACCAGTAGACAAGCTTGGGGTGCCATACTTCGCTGCATCGATGAAGTTCTCAGCCACGTGACGAAGCCAGCAAGTGGCCCACAACGAATGCATCGCGCGAGGGATATATAGGGTAGATGGAAACGAGACAACTAGCAATGCCTTCAGACGACCTCAACTCTGTCGTCTCGACATGCTTGGTTCGCGCCCCTCGGTGGCACCCGACGAAAACTCGGCAATTTCGTCCACTGGCCCGCATACCATTCCGCACAGACTCATCGCATGCCAGCTCGTTGTCGACTGCAGCGAACCCGGTCTCCATGTCCGTTCGCAAGGACACGGCGCTGAAGCAGTTACATGGGAAACGGTCAATTGGAGGCGAGTCGGCGGCGCGGGACGATGTCGTTCGTGCATGCGCTGCGAACATTTGTGACGGAATCGCTTCAGGATGCCGATGGCCCAATGTTGGCCCACTTGTGCGATACATTTCAATTGGACTCGGCAATATTTCCGACCAAGACGGACGTGTTGCGGAGTGTTGTCGACTTGGTTGTCAAAGACCGCGACACACCACTTGGTACGTCGGACGGGATGTGCTTTTGCTTCGACTGTGGCATGGGGCTAACATGCTTCAGGGCGATTTGTGGCGTGGAAGCAAGAGCTGGACGCGGGGGGGTCGCCCTCCACGGACGCTGTTGTCCTGGCAAAGAAGGACAACTTGACCCACGCGTTTCTACCTATTGATACAACGTCGCCGCGGAGACCGAATCATGCCGTCGCGGCGCCTCCCCCGGGATCAAAGCGCATTTTTGATTTCGTTTTGGATCGAGAGATGGCTGCGCTGGGTGACGAGCTCATGCGGCTCGAGGCTGCGTACAAGGAGGCGGAGCGAGGGCTGCATCATGGTAGCATCAGCTACGATAAAATCAAGCGGTTTTTGCAAACCCTGACGCAGGTAAACGAGATGATGCGGTGCGTCAGAAAACCTCACATGTGCTTTAGTTGCGGGCCAACGACGACCAGTTTCGAATCCTCCTTCTGGAGAAGAATCAAAACTTGCGCGCGGACAACGCCCGCCTGTTCAAGCTCGAGGCCCATACTCGCGAACAGCTCGAACTTTTTGTCGACGGGTGTGCTCGGCTCCGGGGCAAGCACGACGCGATGGTCGAAAACGTAATGCCCACCCCCTCCTTGTCGTCCTGTTCTGCGCGACCTCATCTCTGCCGCTCCTAGTTTAGCCGCGTGGGCGCGGCAGACGCAGCGGCGCACGAGCTCATCATGCAGCTGTATGGTGGCGAGTGCGCATTCACCCAGGTCGTTTCGAATGATTCGAATATCGCCACGAGCTCCATCTCATGCTTCAACAGGCGCTGACAACCACATTACAATTCAAGTGCCAGCGACTAGCAGACACAGAAGCCGCGCTGCGCAACGCCCATGCGACAATCAATACACTCGAAACAAAACTCGAGCATCAGCAAGCAACCATCGACGAGATGCATCGGAAGTGGGACGCTGCTGCGAAGGACGCGCTGTGTGCCAAAATTCAGCTGCGCCGGTGCCGGAAGCGAATGCGCGATACCGACAGCCTCGCCTTCGACGCACGAATTTTACGTGGACGCGCGATGGACTTTCAACACATGGTAACACTGCGTTGTTGAATCGTGTGTCCATCCCGTAGCTGACAGCGAGCCGTTGTGGCGTTGAATCCGTTCTGCAGGTGTGCGACTTGATGGGCATGGGGCATGTGCAAGCGGCAGCATTCCAAGATGCCAAAGGAGCTTTCGTCAAGAGCGCGGATCGAACCTCGATTGCGTGGCGTGCTTTGCGGTATTTGACGGCAGTTGCGTCGCCCACAGTCGACGGTCCCTCGTCGCTCCAGCACACGCCGTCAAAGGGCCCACACAGCATTGAGTTTTCAACTCGCGATGACAGACCGTTTCCAGCCATTGTAATGCCGCCCAAACGAAAGCGGGACGTGCGCATGGACCTGCCGGTGGTGGTTGTTCTTGGGGGCGGGGCTTACATCTCGTCTGTGGTCCATCGGCTCTGTGTGCAGTTTGGGTATTCTTCCCTGGACGTGGAAGCGTGGCGAGGCGATACAGCCGCTACCCCCGAAGTCAGCCACAACGGTGCGGACCCTGGCAGCGACACTGAAATGGGGGAAATCCCGATGGCCCACGAGCGCCTTGCCTGGGCAATTCAAGCGTCTGGAAGTGTGCTCGTGTACAACTGGCCCCGCATCCAACCAGGCGACGTCACCCGGCTCATTCAACACGGCGCGAACGTGAAAATGGTGCTGGATTTGGGCGGCGCCGACTCGACCACCACTGCAGCCTTGACAACTTCGTGTGCCTTGTACCGCAGGCTTCCGATGAACACATCACCGCTCCATGTCGACCAAATCGTGCACGACACAGCACTTGTGTGGCATGCGTACCAGGATACGATGTACTCTTGCATTGGCATCAAGTGGGATGCAGCCACCATCGTGATGAACGAACGGTGTGCCATGATGCGGGAAGAGCTCTCGCAGCGCATGGTCGTAGAGTGGGGCAAGCACTTGGCGATTTTGGCCGAGAAGAAGGCTGCAGCGGACGCCAAGGCAAAGCTCCAAACCTCGACCAAGGCCAACAGCACAAAGCGGCCACCATCTAACAACAGAACGTCGACGCCGAACCAGAAAACCAAGCCCGGCACACCTTCTCGTGGAGCTGCCGCAAGTGGCCGAGCAACATCTGGCAAGTCCAAACCACAACCAAACAGCGCGAGCCCCGGAAAATCCTCCACCCAACCATCGACGAAAAGCTCCCCTGTGAAGAGGTCACCTGCGACACCTGCCAAGAAGAAATGAACGTCTTTGGCGATGACGGTTCTCTCCAGTCAACGTCCCATGTCAGGCCATCCATCGAGAGCGGCTGCGGCAAGCCGACAGGTCGTTGAAACGAATCAAGCAATCCTATGCATGGGAGCTTGCAAATCCATCACCTAGAGCAACCAAAGCCACCCTGTGATGCAAGAAGTTGGAGTGAATTAATGGCGGCGTTGTCGACGCTCTAGCGTGGATGTGTTGCGTTGGCATCGGCAATGCATCTAGGATGGGAAGCCGCATGTCAGCAAGAACTTAAAGTCGTACAAGCATGCAAATACCGCAACAAATCTTGGTGGATGGTGCCCTGTCCATTCGACACGACAATGTGACGGGTATGCAGAGTGAACGGAGCGCCCGTCGAGTCCGAGACGTGGCCCCCAGCTTCCGACACGAGCAACGAGCCAGCAGCGACGTCCCACGAGTTCAAATCCAGCTCGTAAAAGCCCTACGACAGGAACTACGATGAAACGTGAGCAAGAGGCAGCGAGGTTTGTACCGTTTGACGGCCACAGCTGGTCCAGGCCAGCTCCAACGCGGCGGCGCCTTGCAGACGCAGCCCGCGGCATGTGCGTGAGAACAAAGCGATCACGTCGAGCATGGGCAATCGAACACTGGGTTTGGTCCCAATGCCAAATCCCACCAGCGCCTGCGAGAACGTCTGCTCGTTTTGACTAACGTGGATCGCAACGTCGTTCAAATACGCGCCATGGCCGCGCAGTGCGCTGAAGAGCTCGTCGCGATACGGATCATATATCACGCCAACGACGACGACCCCTTCCAACGCGACCGCGATCGACACGACGCTGGCTGGACGCGCGTGGACGAAGTTGGTCGTGCCGTCGATTGGGTCGACCACCCACAGCCACTGCGTCCCGTCCATCGACTGAATGGCAGCTTTCGACGCATCGCTTCCTGCATCCACGTCTTCTTCGCCCAGCATGCGGTGCGTCGGGTGCTTGGCTGCGATCTGGGCGGCAATAATTTCCTGGCATTGCTTGTCGACCACCGTGACCAAGTCATCCTTGTTGCTCTTCGACGCGGCGGCCGCGCTCACGGATCCCAAATGAGCCCGCATGTGCTTTCCAGCAAGTCGGGCCGCCTCCTTCGCCGTTGCCAGGACTTCCCAGTACACCGTTGTTGACGCCATCATCCCGTTCGAGATGCTTGCTGTCCGTTGAGCAGTCCCATGGAAAACCTCTGAAACCAAATATCTGCCTAAGGAGAGGTTCGAACCCGTCAAATGTTGAGTCCCGCCAGAGCATGGGAAGCGGCACCAGCCACGGTATCCATTCCCGCACGCCGCGATGCCCGTCA